CGTCTATGGGATGTCAAAACAGGATAATAAAAAGCCAAATTAGATGGTCATAGTAATTATGTTATGTCAGTCTGTTTCTCTCCTGATGGAAATACATTAGCTTCTGGTAGTGTAGATATCTCTATCCGTCTATGGGATGTCAAAACAGGATAATAAAAAGCCTAATTAGATGGTCATAGTAATTAAGTTTGGTCAGTCTGTTTCTCTCCTGATGGAAATACATTAGCTTCTGGTAGTGATGATAAGTCTATTCGTCTATGGGATGTCAAAACAGGATAATAAAAAGCCAAATTAGATGGTCATACTAGTACTGTCCTATCAGTCTGTTTCTCTCCTGATGGAAATACATTAGCTTCTGGTAGTGATGATAAGTCTATTCGACTATGGGATGTCAAAACAGGATAATAAAAAGCCAAATTAAATGGTCATACTAGTTCTGTCTACTCAGTTTGTTTTACTCCTGATGGAAATACATTAGCTTCTGGTAGTGAAGATAAGTCTATCCGTCTATGGGATGTCAAAACAGGATAATAAAAAGCCAAATTAGATGGCCATAGTAATACTGTCTGGTCAGTCTGTTTCTCTTCTGATGGAAATACATTAGCTTCTGGTAGTTAGATAACTCTATCCGCCTATGGGATATAAAGGCAGGATAAGAAATTACATCTTCTGATATTAACTACAAAGATATTCTTGCATAATTTAAGATTCCTCTGCAATAACATAGCCATATTACCGAAGGTACTATTTATCCTCTATCATATTTTTAGCCTCCAATTACATCACTACACTTCTTATATCCTAATCCGCTATATTCTAAGCATAAGGAACACTTATCTTGAAAGGAGAATTTATAAACCTTTAAGGAAAAGATTTAAAACCTTTATTCAAATCTAAAGGAAGTTGGTTTTTAGAAGACTTATAGTAAAAGGGATTTTGATCATTATCAAACAACAATTATTATTAAATTCAATATTTATTATTTTTTTTAAATCTGTCTTTATAGTTTCACTCTTAATCTATTTTTTAAAGATTTATTCTATTTAAGTTATATACACTACATTTATTTGAATATTATTATATTATATGGTCAGTTTAGGGTAGCGAATGATTTTAGAGACGTCATAATAACTGATATTAATTAATATATTTAAACAGAGAACAGTAAATGAAGTGTTTAAAATAAAGATCGATATAATTTCTTAAAGAAAACTAATTTTACACTACATTCTTTTAAATCATCTAGGATATAATATTGATATTAAAAATAATAAATAAATAATTTTGTAAGATTAATTTTTAATTCATAAATCGTAAAAGATATATTTTATTAAAAAGATTATTAAAAAGATTCTTCAAGAATTCAAAAATAAACTTAATCTTATAAATAATCTAATCTATCATAAAATTAAAGCATTGAGATTGAATGATTTTTAAAATTACTCTACTCCATTCTTGCTAATACCTTCATAACCTATTCAATTGATATTAAAAGTATTAAATAGTAAAAAAGATTGAAAAGATAAATTAATTATCAAGAAGTATTATAACCCGTAAAAGGATTAAGATTTAATGAGATAATAATTATATCTTTTCTAACAACCAACTAATCTTAATTACTGATTAACTAAAAGAACTACTTGAATTTTTACATACATCAAATAATAAACATTTATAAATGATTGAGATTATGTATAATCATTGTTAACTTCAAAAGGAGTTTCATGAAATTAATTTATATCTAAACCAAAAAAATAATATCCCTTAAGACATTAAAAACTCATCGACTGGTTAAATTTTACAATTAAATTAATAAATTATCCATAATTTATAATAACTAAAAAGCAAAACTATTATAAAAATGGAAGGAATAAATGAATAAAAGTAAACCATAAATATACGCAATATTAGATTAACCTCCTAAATGAATTGGGTGATAAATTTGAAGAACTAAATACATGAATAGTAGAAAAGAAGTGATATTAATCATATTAGAAAATAATTATTCACTAATAGACAATTTGGTATTCTTAAATTTAAGAAATTAAAGTTTATTAAAATATTTAGATTTAACGTTATTAGCTTTTTTTTTTTGGTATTGACAATGCATAAATAAAATAAATTTGATTACTTTAGAAGAATGGAATGGGTTTATATTTGATAAACTTGGTGTAAAGTTTATAAATTGCTTTTTGGACAAACTTAGAATGGTATTCATTACTTCATGTAAAATGGTAGTTATAAAAGGAACTACTCTATTTGAACCTTATTATCTTTATTCTAATGAATGATTGTTTTGTATTAACAATTTCTAAAGAATTTATTTATTACAATTCAATAATAATGATTCACCATCCATGAAAG